GAAGGAAATCCCTCCTGTATGGAGTTTTAAATGTTTCTTAATTTGTAAGGCTGCTTTGGTTTTATGTTAAGACTTGTTAGTAAAATGCTGTCTAAATCTGGGAGAGGCAAGAATTCTTGTGGGTGATATCTTTTATTGGACTAGCTGCGTGGTTGGGATAAATCTGATATGTTTTAAGGAAGCCTGAACAACATTGTTTAACAGCCCTCTCCCAGGATTCAGAGTTGTGGAAGGTACAGAAGCCTGGGGGTTAATGAGGGGATACTCTGGGTATCCTGCCTCAAGGGTCTAGGACAGAAAGGGGATGGTGGCAGTAGTCTGAAAGGAAGAAGTGGAGATGAGTTGAAGGTTTGTTTTAGAGTAGGGAAAATGTGTTGCAGAAGGAGACGGAGGGTTGGGCAAGAGTTGGACTGGGCTGAGTGCTGCCTCTGAGCTGGGCCGGCACTTGGCCTGCTAGCAGCCCACCCAGGCACCTGCTGAAGGCAGAAGCAGCAAGGGGCCTGATCCTTTTTTTTTGGCAGAGTCTGCCTGTGGCAGGGGGGCGAGCTGCTGGTGGGCTGAGCAGCCCCTGAGCTGTGGGGAGCCCCGGTCCTTCCCTCCTCAGTGGTGGCACCTGCCAGGGCTATCCAGGCAGGCTGCCAGCTTGGGGGCAGCACCCAGCCCAATCTAACTCTTCCTTGAGCCCACCTGCTGGAAACCCACTGGGTACTGCTTCCTGGGCAGGCTTGGAGAACAGTTGGATCAGGCTAGGTGCTGCCTCTGAGCTTGGGCAGCACTTGACCTGCTAGTAGCCGACCTGGGTGGCCCCAGGGAGCACCACCACTGCAGATGGAAGGACCAGGGCTCCCTGCAGCTTGGGCGGCCACTTGGCCTGTCAGCAGCTCGTCCCCCAGCCATGGGCAGGCAGCATAGAATAAAACCCTAGGAATTAAACCCCCACCATGTGTACAAGTGCCCTAAGATGCCACCCTGCCTTGCCTTCTCTTTAACCTGCATGGGGAATGAGGACAGATGACGCATTGGGTTGGGAACTTCACTTGGGAGGGACTGTGGTTTACATCCCTTTCCCAAGTTCTGTTATGTTCTCTAGCAATTAAATGTGAAATAAACCCATGTGAAGTCTTAGTTGATAATTATGGTTTAGTCTGACTGGTAGAAGTCACATGACATCAGACCACCAAGAAGTTCTGCAAGCAAATGCTTTCATAACAGTTCCTCAGCCAGGCAACATTATAGTGATGATGATTATGTGGCTTCAGTAGCTGAAAGGCAAGAGTTCTTGTGGGTGATATCTTTTATTGGACAAGCTGCATGGTTAGGATAGGTGTAGGCAATCTTTTGTGCATTATGGTATCCTTCCTCAGGGTTCTGGGAGAGAAGCAGACACAGCAGAGCTTAGTTCAATATTTGAAAATCATCATTGGCTTTAACCCAGATTTCCTAAATATGAAAGCTTGTTTCTCCTCTTTTTTTCTCTGGCATGCTGAAGACTGTAGCTTTTCCTGTGCATATTTGATTTGATTTGTTTGGTTTATAAATTCAGGGATGTTTCCCTGGTAGTTAGGACCAACAAGCTTTGGTCCTAACTATCCTAATTTTCATAACCATAACTAACAACTTGGTCCTGGGTGTGCATATAGACAGACTGCTGCCCTGCACCTCGGATACCCAACAAGAAACAGCTTCGGGGAGCCTGACTCTGAGGAACTGCTGAACATCTAGCCTCTAAAAATAGAGCATCTTCCACATGTTTGTAGCTGAGCCAAAATCGAGAGACCCTGAATTTCTAATTATTACTAATAATTGGCTGGTCTTTTTAGATGGTTAATTCATGCATGTTACAAGTTTCCATAAGCATTAATTGTAAAAGCTGTTTCAAAGATTTAAAAATGCAACCATCTATTCAAACTTTTACACTTAGAACTGTGATAAGATTTCTGCAATCACATAAAGCCAAGTTGTGGGTTTGTTTAATTCTATTGTTGACTTGAAAAGTAAATAGTTATTTGCTGTACACAAAGGCTGCTACAGGGTTACAGTGTGAGGAGTTTGAGATTTAGTTGATGTTTGTGTTAGCTACCAGTATTTCCAAGTTCTGCTAATAGAAGCTTTGTTTGACTTGAAACTGGTCATGATTTACATTAATGTGGACTCTAGCTCTTGTAAGTGTACCAATAAATAACACACACTGTTAATGTGTGGGAAAAGCACAGCACTATAATTGTTACAGATACCGAAAAACATCCCCCCAGTAGTTTTGCATGGCAAGCTAGGGACTGGGGGAGCATTTTTGCTTTCCTTTTATGATGAAGGCTCTAGGGACAGAAGTTCAAAAAGCCTGAGCCCGAGTTGATTCAATCTTTGCAGGTTAGTCTAACCTGGCTAGGCTGAATCACTTTGTAACTGCAAAGACATCCCAGAAATGCAGGCAGATGCCTGCAGTGGCTCGGGGTAAAAGCGGGGGGTGCTAGAGCAGTCCTCCCCTCCCTTCTACAGTGCTGAGCTGAGGGTGGGGGGGTGTGGCCAGGCCCTGGCAGGATTAGGGAGGGGTGTCCCTCCCCACCCCCGAATGATAACAGAACATTTATCAGCTCTGTTATCAGCATTTATCACCACATCAGAAAACAAACAGCCTGTCTCATTAGCTCAAAATCTTCTTAAAGAAGAAATGGAGGGACATTACCAGCTGGGCTTTGATTAGCTCCAAACAACCTTAAGCCCACACTGCTGTCTGCCACAGTATGGATGGTTGCCAGCATGTGGTCTGCTAGCTAATGCTGAGGTATCTGTGTAATGCATAGCGGGGACGGGGGATCCCTGCTTAGTGGGGAGGGGAGGGGGAAAGCAGGGGGAAACCAGGCAGACATTGCGTGCCTGCAAGTCTGCTGGAGGTGCAGCCATGGAGCAGAGGGGAGGGGCCAGCCCTGCCCTGGAGCAGAGAGATCTACCCAGCCCAGAGAGAATGCCAGGATGCTGGGGGAGTCTGATTTATCTTAACCCAGCAAGGGGTCTGGGACAGACATTTCATAAACTGGTTTGACCCAAGTCAGTTAAGTCTGATACTACACTCAACCAGGTTTATCTCAAACTGGTTTCAGCCAGTTTCAAACCAGTTTATGTTCACTGAACATCTGTTTTGTTACAGGTTTAAACCAGTTTCTGATCACTATGTGTAATGTCTGTCCCTAGCCAAAGAGCCTGATGCCTGGTGCATGCTTCCCGAGTTCTGTGCTTGGGGAATAAGGACATTTTGTTGGAGCTGTGGAACTAGATTACAGAAAGAATTTGAGGCCAGTAAAGGATCAAAGTGCTAAACAAGGAAAGACATTATATCTCTTTAAATGCATGTCCTTTACAGTTGACTGTAGGTAAAAACAAAAATGTGTCTTGAGGAAAATAGTAGTGATTAAACTACTACTTGCTTATTGCTAACAGGGAGCAGATTTTAACTCGATGATGCCCAATCTTTTGGTCCCACAGGTTGGATGTGTGAGGTTGGTCCACAGGCCCAGTCTAGTGTGTACCAGATCAGGCCTTGATCCTGTGTGCCATATTGTGCCTGCAGCTGGATTCGGCCCACTGCCCTGTCCCATATACCCACCCCTAAATTTCAGGATGCACCCCTGTTCTAACTGGTTTCTGTAATGTATAGAAATAAAGAGCAATCCTTTGCTTGTAAACCTCTTTCTTTACACCAATGACAAACTTAGCTCAGTGGACTCAGCAGAGATGTGGTGGGGTGGTGTAATTCTTACTTCATTTAAATTCATGCTGTAGAGCAGCAGAGCTTTCCCATCTTATATGTGGCTCTGGCTAGAGGCAGAAATATCTAAGCATTCCCTGTTCTCATGCACTGAGGCTGGCAGGACAGGGTTTCATGAGACATTAGGACATGTGATCCTCATGTAAAGGCTCCTCTAGTATTGTGTCCCCCATGTCTTCTTTGCATGGGCGACTGGTGCCTCCCAAGTCTGAGGGGGGGGCACCAGATCACCAACCGGGGGGTCAACCAGCAGCCAATCGCAGAGTCCAAAATCACCAGCGGTGAAACCGGAAGTGCACTTCTGCCAGCACTTCTGGTTTCATGGCTGGCATTTCCAGCGGGTGCATGTGCACCCGTGTGCACCCCCTGCATGTTGCTAATACTTCTTTTCTCTTTCCCAGTTCCACCAGATTCAGGTGACGGCTGTAGGAAAGCATCCTAAATAATGAGGAATCAGAACTCGCTTTTGTCATCTTCTGCATCCATGAAGGGTTAACTTGCCAGCAAACATTGGGGCTTTTTCCTGGAGATGGTGGGAAACCATTGTCAGTGCAGAGGAATCAAAATTCTTGTTTTCCGCTGGGGTTAAACTGAAATGGTGGGAAGCTGGACTTTTGAAGCCATTCGGTCACGTTGATGCTCAGATTTAATACAGCTTTTGAATGTAGCCTCTGACCAGTACCAAGATGTGAAGGACCATTTGAGGCCATCAGCTTCATTGTTTGATTGTTTTGGTTGAGAGGCATCCGCTTAGCAGTCTGTAAGCAATGGCATCACTTGCTCTAACGGTCTGTAGCTCAAAGAACCATCTGATGACAGCTATTAACACATCCCAGAATAATAATATCCTGCTAGCACATTCCAATATGGTTTAAAATGCTAATTCTCTGAATGATTTCTTTCCAAGATAAAAAGAGGGGGAAAGTAGGAAGTGAGGGGGGAAATGACAAGGAGGCAGGAGAGGAACGAGGCAACGCACAGACCCTAGCAGAGAAGTGGGACTTGAGAGATGCACAGACCCTGCAATAGTTGGGGAAGGTTAAGAGAAGAAACCTGCAGGAAAAAGAGGGGGTGAGAGAGAGGTGCAGAGCATGTGAGGGAGATGGATACAAGCAGTCCCTGATGTGTTCAATGAACTCTGCTGGCAGAAGCAACAGTGTGTGAATGCTCCCCCCAGTTTATCTTGCTGTTGGGAACTGGGAAAACTTGTGAGTGATTCATCATTACAATTGCCTGGGATGACTGGACGTTCTTTTTTTTTTTTCCTCCTGAAAAATAGTGCTAACCTTTATTTAAACTGTGTGAGCAGCTGGTAAGAATGAGGAAGTCACCAGTTGTGGTTTCCTCCTTCGTTAGCTCCAAAATTTAGCACATCTATTTGTTTCAAGACTGATAGAAAGCTGGGAGTTACTGCATTGCTCATACATGAATGCGCTGCAGCTTGCAGCCTAAAATCTGGCAGCATCAATGGCTGAAGGCGTGTGTTAATCTAGAAGATTGTCATGGAGACTTCGTAAAAGCAGAGGAGTTGTGGGAGATTTTTCTTCCTGCTTTTTTTTCCGCCCCCACTACCAAAGAGCAAGATGTGTGGGATGAATTCACCTACGTGCTGCATTTATAATGTTTGTAGTCCACAAAGGTCTAGGTTCTCCAGAGGATATCGAAGCATCCCATTATACTATTATAAACCTGTGGGAGTTTTTGATCACTATTTTCAGTGCTGCTGTATATTGTGGTATTGGGTAAGTACCAAACTTCTTCTTGTTGCTGTAACAGTTATCTAGACTTGTTTGTACTGGAGTTGAAAATTCTCCTATTCTTTTCTGTAGCTCCTTCAAACATTTTAGCCATTTGGTAAGCATGCAGTTTTCTTAAACTGTTGATAAACAGAATTTGGTAGAGTTTACAAGGTAGCTGGGGAGGGGAGGGGGTAGCTAGACAAAGGGGAACAAATCAGGTTTGTGGTGCTCTTCAATTCCAGGAGACCTGAATGTTTTCATAACTCTTACATTTAGCCATAAATCCTTGGACCCATGCATTTCATGTTCAACTATTTTCTTTACAACTCTCATAGAGAGTCCTACCTTTCTCGTTTCTACACATGAACACCAGTCACTTACTGGTAGGATGTACTGTTGTAGGAATCTGGAGCTCTTCTCAATGTTGGCTAGTTCTCTGAGGGTAATCTGGCTCTTCACTAACACATTTTATCCACACTAGAAACATAATTGGTCTATTCCAGAAGCACTTTACAAAGCTCATCCTTAGAAAGAGGTTTTAACTGTTTACATGGAGTGAAATTCCATTTAGTTCAATTTAGATATCTTAGTTCAATTTAAAATATAGTGGTTCAGTTACACTGCTGGATTATTTTCAGGCTTTCAGCTGGAACTTTCTAATCCATGCTAGAGCAAATTAAAAAATATATATATCATAATGCTGAAACATGGGTACCTTTTAAAATTAAATATTTGTACACACCACATCTTTTACAAAGATTTTAAACAATGCAAGCCCTCCCCTTCTAGCCCCCCAAAAAGAAACGACAAAAAGCGGCTTCTACATTGCCATGCTGTAAACCATATAGAAGATATTTTAAATCTTCCATATTGTATACAGCCTCTATCTTCCTATGAAAATTTAAATAATGAATCCTGTCTAGGACTTTTTTTAGCACTACATTTCCCAGATGACTTTGTAGCAATGCGTACACTTAGTTGTTCCATAAATTGTTGGGGGAAATTGAGATTTTTATGTATGGCCGTGTTCATTAATCATTTAATCTTGCATCATTTGCTGGGGAATTTGTGAGAGGATACCTCTTACTCAGAGTGAAGAAAAAAACCTGGATGAGAGAGGGTATGGATAAGGGCTTTTTGTACGTAATAGATTACTTATGGCTGCACCTACCTGGTTTAGTCAGCTTTGCTTTCAAGCCAGTCCGCTTAGTTAGTATCTACTGAGTTTACAGTATGCCTTGACTGTGTTATTTGTTGAAGGCTGTATAGAGAATACAAACTTTTGCAACTTTTCTGTTAGTGGTTGCTCAGAAAGGATTGTTAAAGACTGCCAGGTAAGGGATGAAATGGTTCCAGTAGCTTGCAGAGGCTAACAAGCTTTGGTTTTCTTTCCCACTTGAATACGTGATTGCATTTTGTGTAGCTGAGATATTTTGAGGTACTTGCTGATATCCAGGGCTCATATTCAAATCAGCAGTTTAAACATAATTGTTTTTAATCTACTTTTCCATTTGCACTTAAGAAAAGCACACAGATAGTAATGCAAAGATTTTGATAAAGGCTCTTGGATACACTTTTTTTTTTTTTTTTAATTCAAAATGTTTTGTGAGATAAGAAATTTGGGCCTGTAACACATCTTTTTTTTGTTCAGATTTCATTTGAAAAAGGACTTTTTAAAAAGAGAACCCTTTTCATTTAAATTGGATTCGTGGCGTTTAAATTACAATAACAGTTAACAAGCCTGCTTGGTAGCCTTTGAGAGGGTATAATCGAAAAATAAGTAAGTGTGAGTGCATGTTGGCTGAAGTTTAAGGCTTTTGTGCTGCATCAAAGAAACTAATTAGTTGTTTCCTGTTGGAGCAACCAAAATCATTTGAGAAACTATGAATATATGCACAAATCCTCTGCCTTAACTTGGAGTGATAAACAGTTTAACAGGTACCTGTGGGAGGAGGCAGAAACACTGCTTTATGTAGATTCTCCCTTTTACTAAGCTACTGTTACAACAGCTACTGCTCCAATGAGCTTAGGAGACTAGTAGAGGAGGCACTGAGGGCCCAGAAGGTAGAGGTGATGGGAATCCATGAGGCATGGTCATACCTTAAAGGGGCGATCCTCCAGGCCCAAAGGATAACAGTCCCTGAGAGAAGCAAGTGGGGTAAGTGTGCTCAGAAACCCCCTTGGCTCAGCAAGGGCATTCAGCAATGCCTGAGGACTAAAAGGGGGATGTACAGCCAGTGGAAGGGAGGAACTATCAGCAAGGAAGAGTACTCCTCCTCGGCCCAGGAGTGTAGGAGGGCTATTAGGAAGGCCAAGGCAGAGATGGAGCTCAGGCTAGCGTCCAGGATTAAGGACAACAAAAAGTCCTTTTTCAAGTACATTGGGAGCAAGAAGAGGGCACCAGGCAATGTAGGGCCCCTGCAAGACACAAACGGTAATCTGGTGGCCACGCCAGACAAGAAAGCTGATATTTTTAACAGTTTCTTTGCCTCTGTTTTCCTGAGCAGGGACCGGGATATCCCACCTACCAGAGGTAGGGACAGTCTTGGGGATAGCTCTATCAAGTCTTCAGTCATTGCAGATGTAGTTTGGGATCTTCTGGAAGGGCTAGACATTTTTAAATCTGCAGGTCCAGATGCCCTCCACCCAAGGGTGCTGAGGGAGCTGGCAGGGGTCATTGTGGAGCCCTTGCCCGGCTATATGAGCATTCGTGGTCATCTGGCCAGGTGCCGGGGGATTGGAAACTGGCTAATGTGGTCCCTATTTTAAGAAGGGGAGGAAGGAGGACCCAAGTAACCATAGGCCTGTAAGCCTCACCTTGGTGCTTGGGAAGATCTTGGAGAGAATCATCAAGGAGCATATCTGTG